CAAACTGTAAATGAGCCTATTTGGTAAGAACATGCAAAATGTGTGTGTGCTGAGAGAGGGTATTTTGAGAATTTAACTAATTTCTGAATAGTAAAGGCATCCAGTCTGGCTATAATTGGTGCCTGTGGCAATTGTTGGTACCCTGACTACATTAGCTTTCTGTGCCCTTTAGCAGAATTGGAAAAACATTTCTAGTACTTGTTAAGCTGTCTATTATCAACCTTCATAAATATACACATTTAGAATAGAGATGATTTGCTATCCCAGTGCCTTAGAGCGCTTAAATAAATTAGTTCCTACTATTTCAGGCATTAATTTTGCAGTAATTATGCATGAAGCAATAATGCAATTAAAATTGCCTTCCAACTTGCTCGAGTGGGAATACTTTTTGAAAATAATACTTGATCTTTTCTCAAAATACACTCTAGAGCAGGTGGATGTGCTGTGTAGCTCAAACAGCAGTGCGGGACTGTTCTACCTTGAGATCCTCAGTTTGCCTGCAGCTGCAGTCAATATTAACCAAGTATTACCATCTGTTGGCTTTTGCTGACCTCTGGTTTATTCCCTTCTCCCCTTTCTCTAGTGGCAAAGTGCCCACATCACAGCTGGCATCAAGTGCTTCAGCAGTGGGGTTTCTTATTTAAAGAATGCAACCCCACTTCAAGGCAGGAAACATGGGCTAGCTTTCAGTTTGCAATTTTCCAGTTTCTTTTTGCATGGTACCTACTGGTTTCACATCTTTGCAATATCTGCTATAATAAAGCACAGCAATGTATCTGCCCAGATTTCAGCCTTAGGTCTGAATCTCTTTACATTTAAATTGGACCTCTCGTTTCTTGGGGAAAAAGTATAGATTTTGTAGCTGAGTTACAAATAAGCTTTTCCAGCTTTTTGGCAGCTAGGTAATAGTTAAAGTGAAAAGATTTCTTTTTTCCAGCCAGAAAAGAGGTTTAATAACTGTGGGTCCATTTGTTCATAGCAGTACTGGAGCTGAGCCCTACAAACCCCTGGAGCTTGGCAAGCCAGGCAGACTTGGCAAGTTTTCCTACCAGCTTACTGAGTCTGAGTCAAGTGTGGCTTGTTGCAACTTCAAATATATTTAGTGCATTTTGTTAACATGAACATTAAGGTGGAGGGTTTGAGGTTTTTCTTCTTTTGCTTAACTTAAGGTGTACTATGCTCTCTCTACAAACAGCTGGTCCTTAAACCATGCATAGCAGTTTATGGCTTGTGTTAAATTAAAAATAAAAGTGTATTTTATGCAGAGTATCTGATTTACTCTTGACATGAAGATATTGAGGAAGTATGAGACAGTACCCCACAGTCTTTCTGTCAGTCGGCCTTTGGTAGTGTGAATCTGGGGAGAAAACAAGCAGAGCTGTTACTTTCCAGTGCATTGTGACAGCGATAACTTTTCCCCTCTGTTTGGAGCCTGTGATGCATGAAGACTTGTAAGTGTTGGAAATGCTCTCACTTCTAATTTTTACCTGTGTGGATACTGCTGAAGGAAAAAGAATTCAAATTGGAATTTTGGATTGGCTGGACACTGAACTTTGTAAATGTTAGTTCATACCTATCCAAATTATATCAGCCTTTGAAATAGGGGGAAAATTATTCTGTAGAAATAAATTCTTTCAGTGTTGAAAGATGCTGCAGAGGACGCAAGATAGTAACAGCTGAATACCTATTTACTGCAGTCAGACATGTCAGTATTCTCCTGTATTGATTCATTCATCTCAATGTGGTGTTAGCAGGGTCTTTAGTGGATTCTGTACCATGCAGTTGTGGCAGGGCCATAGATCATGAGTAGAAGGAATTGGTCTGTTGAGTGGGTGTTTCTCACTTGTGCTTGGACAGCCTGTCTGCTGCTTTGTGAGGCATCCTAACAGCTCTGCTCTTCCCAAGTTTTATGGAATTCTGTTGTCGTTGTTGCTAATATTTTTGTTGGGAAATGTGAATCTAAGAATCCAAGATGTTAGATTTGCCTGGTTTAGGGCTTTTTTTCTAGCCATGGGCTAGCTACAGAAATTCCGGCTGCTTTGTTTTACCCTCTTGACGGATAATCAGCTATGTCTGTTGCTGGAGGACTGGTTGTGGGAAGCTATGGTTTCAGAAAGCAGTTGTTTCCTAAGCAGCACGAGCCAATGTTATAAAAGGCCTCATCATTTGCTACCAAACCTTTGAAGTTTGCTTTGCCCAGTGGGATCTAGAAAACTGAGCAGAGCACAGTCAGGTTGCCAACTAAGCCAGACAGGCTTCTGATTTGTGAGCTATTTATTGTTTCTAGAACTGCTGCCTTCATTCATCGTTGCAATTAATTGCAAAAAGCCTGGAGATGATAAATGCCTAGATCATTATTGCTAAATATCTGGGAGCATGCTATTTTAGAGCTCAGATTCTTCCTAGAAGAAACCCTCAAATTCCTAACTTGAACAGCCCAAATAAATTGTGGTTTCTTTTTGGGACCTCAGGCTTTGTACCAAAGAGGTTTCATATGTTTCTTTTGAAGAGCTGATGTGTAGAAGTGGCTGGAGCACTGCAAGGATGAGAGTGTGACAGGCCAGTGTGCTGCTTTGGGCCATTAACTGTGTCCTTAGAGCGAGATTTACAGAGTATTCCTTCAGGGTATCAATGCAATAGAACTGATGATAAAAAGCTGGGATGTAGAGTGTGTCTTCTGTCCTTTTTCTGGACAGAGCTGGTGAGGTGAATCCTTAAAGGCTCTTTTAATTGAATGCATGTTTGGCAATGGGAAAGAAAGACACTTTTTTTAGGAAACCTAAGAAATATTTTGCAGTTTGTACTGGGCTGGTGCATTTCAGCTAAGTGGTGGAGGAATGAAGCTGTTGGCCCTTAAGAAAACTTACAAGGACACTTGTAAACTATAAGCTGCAAGAGGGGCAGCAGGTATTGAAAAATGCAAACTTCAGAGTAATATTGTGAGAAGTAAATAGAAACTTGGTGCTCGAAAGAGCAGCTGATGGTTTAAAAACATTACAGGAAGTAATTTTAAACAGATGACCAACTGTGCAAAGCATAGCTATAAACAGATGAGTTGGAATCAGTGTCATTGTTTCTTACTTGAACAATGAGAGTTCATTTAGAACAGATGATTAATTTCAAACAAGAATGGTGATATAATAGCTGTAAGAAGCACAAAAATAAGAGCTCAACTAACCTGGTCTCTGTTTGTGAACAGTGGTAGTTCTCTGGCAGACTCATCTGGTCTCCAGCTTTCCTTCTGTGATTTTTTTTTCAAATTGCCTTTTGCATCTACAGCATCATCTGGGAGACATTTCCACAAGCCAGCCATATATTGTGTGAAAAGGTTTCACTTTCTCCTTTTGTGTAGCATGTGAATTTCATGTTTTGCAGCAGTGCCTATTTGAACAGCTATTTGTTATTCTTTCCAACCTTGTAAATACTTTTATATTGCATGAAGTTGCCTCTGTCCCATGTTAGAGTCCTGGTCTGTTTAGATATTGCATGTATGAAAACAGTGATAGGTCTTGATGCAGTCTCATTTTCTACTTGGTTTTTGTTTGTTTGTTTGTTTTTTGGTTTTTTTTCCCCCTGATTATTCTGTATTCATTTTGTGTGGAAGAAGGGAGAGATCAGATGATGTACAGCTAACTGCTTGTTATCTGAGATGTTCTGCTAGGCCACTAATACTGCACAAGTGAGCCAGAGAATAAATGATGCTGGTAGGAGAGTGCTGCCCAATGAGTGACAGAATGGTGTCAGAAAAGATACCTGGCACTAAGTGCCATGGGCTCTCAGGGAGCAGGAAGGGAATGGGCATGGTTAGCCCTGACTGATCTGCAATACACAGTGCATCCAGTGCAACATGGACTTGTGAAGTAAATGCAACACAAAATATGTTGAAACTGGGTGGTTAGAGGGAGTATTCTCACACGCAATATTGAATTAATTTTGAACAAAGTAATATGGTCTACTGTGGATTTTGAAAGGGACTGTTGCCAGAAATTCTCAGAAATCTTTTGTTATCTAATAAGTGTAATGATTTCACATTCAGACTGTTTCAGGATGCCCTTAAACTGCTATTGTTCTTCCAGTTTCCAATTTACTTGGAAAGTGATAATTCTTTCCCTTCTTTGTTGTTTCCCTAAGCTTCTTTCAATGTCCACTAAGAAACTTTGTTCCAACCCAGTACAGCAGTTTGTGCTTCAAAAAGGTGCTTAAGCAAGATTAATAGACTCAAAGAAGCTGCATCCATGGAAATGCTGAAAAGAGTTTACCTTTGCACTGAAGCTTAAAGCTGTTTCCTGGGATTGTGTCGTTACAGAATCCCCTCAGCTGGAAAGCAACTTGAAGTCCATCTAGTCCAATCTTCTGTTTAAAGCAGGGTGAACATTAAATGCAAACTAGATTGCTCAGGTCTTGCCCAGTTGCATTTGTAAACTTGTTAAAGGATGAAGACTCTGCAGCCTGTTTTGCAACCTCTTCCAATTTAATGATTAAATAGGTAGTTTAATAAATAATAATGTTTGCATCATTTAAACAAAAAAATTACAATATAATCATGATCATATAACTGACAAGTTGATATCATTGTAATTCTGGGACTGTAAAAATCAACACAAGTTAAGCAAAACATCCATCAAAACAGTTATTTTGAAAATTCTGGTCTTTACCAAACATGATGGGAATGAAGTTGGCTTCGGGCTGCAGGCATATTAATTGGCCAGCGATAAGGATTTTGTAATAGTTTGATGCCATCTATTTTTTTAGAGCAATTATGTAAATACAGCTAATTGCTCCTTAGTCTGAGTGTTTTATTTTAAACAAGGAGTGCTCTGCCAGTATTTAAAATGTAGGACTTGAAAATAACTGCCTGGCACTGCTGATAATTATTTTTAGAGCATGACAAGCATCTGTCTCCAGATGGTGGTCTGTATTCCACATCCTTCTCCTCTACTGTAAATGGAAGCATGGACTGCAGGAGTAATCTAAATCTTTTTGTAACTTCTCTTTTTCAGCTTTGGTTTGCTTTCGTTAATGGATTTTCCGGGCAGATCTTATTTGAGCGATGGTGCATCGGTCTGTATAATGTGGTACGTGCTGCATGTTTAGACTTGATAGTGCTTGAGACTACTGTATTATTTTGTTGTGTCCCATTTTTCACAGGTAACCGTCCCAGATGTATGTCAGGAAAGGTGAGTTCATTTGTAAAAGCCACTTTGAATCCACTCTGAGGTAGGGAAAGTAAAATAAAATACTACATTTTTATTACAAAATGAAAATTTGGAAGAACACCTTGAAAATAGATGTTTAACCTAATGTAACCTGCATAAAGCTCTCCAGATTTTAGATAGAATTTAATTTCCTCTTTGGAAGCATTTTCAGAGTTTTATACTGAATATTTTGGTGACAGTTCATGCTCAAAATACTCCTTATCTCTGAGTTTTGATGAATTTTTTTTCATTCAGACCCTGTAGAGTTAGATGCTGAGAGAAGTTACTTTGGGCTGACTCGTGCTCCCTTAGGTACAGAAAGAGAAGCTGCATCACTGTGTCATCAGCAGTCTGGGAGTGGTTTCTGATTTTCAACATGGCCTGCAGGGTGCCACACTGTGTCATATGACTTTATTACTTTAATCAGTAATATTATTTAATCAATCACATAGATGAAAGCCTGAAGGATCTCTGGAACCAAGTTCTGTAGCATACCGTAGACCTGTGTTGGTGTTTTGGACAATGTTACCTTTGTAATGTTATGAGTGGCCCTGTGCCTGGATTTATAAGCTGCTAGGACTCTGTTAGTGTTAAAGAGTCTCTTTTCACGGAGGGAATTTAATTTTTTTGTTAAAAACCTCATTCCAAATATATGCTAATACAGAAGAAGCCAGCAAATTATCACTGAATAGTATTAATGGAACCACTTAACTTCTGTCACATTAATTTTTAAAATTATGGCACAAGCCCCCATATTCCATAAGATTTCATACTCTTAGTTGAAGATACTTATTCAAGGATTTATCATTCCCTTGATTCCCTTCACCCTAATTTCCTGACTGTTATGCAGTCTCTGTCATTCATGTTTAGATATTTGCATCTATTATCTTTAAACCTCATTTGATGAATCTATCTACCCTACCTAAAGCTTCTGGATAAAACTCATCTTCTGTAATCAGAAACTAAACCTTGTTTTTTAAGGTCAATATTTTCTAAAATTAGAACTCGTTGCATGGACTCATGGAGAATCAAGTGCCAGTAAGATATTAGGGACTTCCACAATTTGTCAGGCTGAGATTTTGAAGTGCTTTCAGCTAAGTCATTCTTTTCTGTGCAGATTAACCCTTTATTTTATTAGTAGTCTCATTAAGATATGAAGTGTATGAAATCATGGTGGCATTGTAATTCCTGATTTTGCACTGGTTTGCACTGGAAGTTTGCCTTGGTGGTCAAAACCACTAGAAGATTTACTTCAAGTGAGGATGTAAATGCCCCAATAAACAGAAGAAACCAGGGGAAGTACATTAAAGCCATATGAGAGCATGGTCTTCTTTGGAATATATTGGACCAGGGCTCTCAGTTTCAGTTCTCTACCTTCAGCCTGCTGCCATTTTAGCCATCTGGTTTATCACTTCATGGGCGAAGACGCACAATTCCCGCTGGACTGAGGGTTGTAATCATTGATTCTCACTCGTCTCTGTTCCTCCCCATTGTTCTTTGTGTGCTCCCCAGCTGCCTCCATGCTGCTGGTGGGAATCACAGCCCGCCTTCTCCAAATGTGCACACACCCTAGAAACAGTTCATAACTCCTACCTGCCTCTTAACTTCAAGAACACTTCTCAAACTGGTAAAAATATATGTATGTATAGGTTTTAAAGTGATGTTTCTGATATAAACTATTGATGTAAAAGGAAGTGAATGAAGTTTGGTGTTCAGACTTGCACCCTGGTGTAACTTTCACTCGGTGCCTGCACTGTGGACCACAAGAAACATGGATACCCAAGCTGGCTTTAAATGAGCTGCCTCAGATCCTGGAAACACTTCAAGAGCAGCAATGTTAAAGTCAGTGGGGACTAATTTACTCTGCTTCTGGCAGAGTGTCCTGCTGCCTGTCTTGGAAGGCTTCCGAGGCTTGGTCATCCAAGCATCTGCCCGTAGCACAGACACACACTGCAGTTAATTTGTTCCTATCAGTTCATGCTTGCCAGGGGAATCCCCAAAGTACCATAATGCAGAATGGCTTTTGTTGCTCAGTAGATTTTTATTTTTTTTTAATGTGATTTCCACATTTACTCTGTCTGTAAACTTAGCAGTGGTTAAGCACATTGCATATCTAATTATGGCTACAACTGCAGCTATATTGGAAGCTATTCCCACAAGACTATTTTGTAAAAATGCATGTTGTCTTTCCATTGCAGTCCAGTGTGTCTGACCCTCGCTGGATTAGCTGGTACATCAGGAAACTAATGATGCTTAACTTCTTGGGTTTAACTTATTGGTTAATAATATGAATTTTCTTTCATGTTTCTGTTGTTCACAAGTCAATATTTGGGAGTTACAAATTGATGTTTGGACTTGTTTGGACCATTGAAAATTATGCCAAATAACGTGCTAGGTAGTAGTAAGTCTTCACTGAATTCTGTGGGAATTTTGCTTTTGTCTAGGTAAGGAAACATTATATGAGATACACTTAAAACTAAGAGCTGCTTTCAATTAGTATTTGCTTTCCTTGCAGATTTTCACAGCACTGCCACCCTTTACTCTGGGAATTTTTGAACGGTCGTGTACTCAAGATAGCATGCTTAGATTTCCACAGCTATACAAAATCACTCAAAATGCAGATGGTTTCAACACAAGGGTAAGGAAAACCCTGTTGCTCTAAAAAAACATAAGCATTCTGATATTCCAGATTTTTCATGTCAGAAAATAACTTATTTCCTGATGTTACTTCTGCTTTAAGCTGACCACTGAGAGTGATTGTTCAGCCTTCCAGTTCTTTCCAAGGGATTACTTTTTTTTATTTAAGTAAAGAACATTCTTGTTTATAAATAAGGATTTTCTGCTGTGACTTCACCAGAAACTGGTCCTGAAATATCCATAAACTTTGATTCATTGTTAGATTTGTATCCAAGTATGATTTTTCAATTCACACCTACTGATAAGCCATGATGACATCGCCTGGATTTATTTAACATATGTGTTGTCACAGCACTCTCTGCTAGGGTGTTTTTCATAGTTAGCATAGCTCTGTTCCAGTAGTTCTTTTGGAAAATAGTATTTGAATTGGCTTATTTGGACTTCTGAGTTTTGAAGAACACATTTTACTCAATTTTGCTGTTTAAATGCTGGAAAATGCCAGCATTTGATATTCTGTCTTTTCCATAATGAGCACATCTAAATGTACTTCTGAATCAAGGAAGCTGTATGATTGCTTTGTTTGGAGAGGAAATTGTAGAGTACATAAAGTTTTAGTTTGTGCAAAATTACATTATCTGATAGTTAAAAACTGTGGGGCACAAATTATTTATCTATTAAAAGAAAATAGAACATTTCCTAATACTGAATCACTCTTTTAAATTTATCCTTTGAGGTAATTAAACAAAGTTGACTCAATCTGTCTGCCTTATTTCAATAAAGATCTTAAACTGAAGCATGCTCGCCTATTATGCTTCAAGTTGGTAGAATAAACTAATTGAACTGGACCAGTGTTTTCTTGTGAAAGAGCAGAAATTGTAGGAGAAAATAGAGCCTGCAGAATTTTGAGTATTTTACTTCAGGATAAACATTTTCTGACTCTAAACTATACAATGAAGTGTTTGTTAGGAGTTAGAGAGAGGTCAAGAGTTTTGGACTTTACTGATGGCTTGGTTTGTTTTCCCTCAGGTTTTCTGGGGTCACTGCATCAATGCCCTCATCCATTCCATCATTCTTTTCTGGTTTCCACTGAAAGTGCTGGAGCATGGTAAGGGCTTCATTATTTCTTATGTGAGTAACTGATGTTCAGTCTTACAGAACCAGTGTGTTTGCAGAAGAGGGGGTTGTGACAAGTCTCAAGAAATAATGCTGCCAGACAGTTCAGTAGTCTTTAGCTGCTGAGCTTGGCGGGTTGTCGAGTGGCTTTCAGAAATTATTTTAATCTAACATAATTATTGTTCATATAGTGACTTTAATAGGCGAAAAATGAAACTACTGCTTTGCTAAGAAGTCTTACCCAAATACTGAGTGATGTTTTACAAAATGCCTTTTTTTTTTTTTTTTGTTAGTGTGTTGAGATCTCAGCATTTTATTGAATAATGTTTTTACAGCAGCTGCCTTAGAACCATTTGCTTTCTATCTTGTTGGAATTCCCCCATTCCATAACGCAGTACTGTGAAAAAGAATTGGCTGCAATGGAAGTAAACCGGATCAAGAGTCAGAGATACTGGGGAAATGAGCCTCTCTGGTGTACAGATTAGGGTTATTAGGTCTTGCTTTTCAGGGTAATGCAACTACACATGGTTCCTACATAGCTTTCCAGTATAGCTGTGTGGGTGGGAAAAACCACTGGAAATCTGTTCTTTGATTGTGGTAAGAAATAGCGTGAGATCAGATGAGGAATTTAGGGCTGGTGAAGAGAATATTTATCTAAAATCATTAATTTTTCACAAGTGAAACGCCTTCCTGGAAAACACTGATTTTAAGAAAACCTTCTTGGCTCCAGAATGGACTAATTGGGGAGGAGGTGAAAGAAATAAAAAGGGAGGGAAGATGAATGCTCATGTCAGAGGCATGATAGTAAAGATACTAGTGAGGGTTAGGTTCATGCTTCTCTGCTTGGCTGATTGAAATGTCAGTATCATATCCTCAGTGGGAACTTCCATGGCTGATGGACCATATGAAAAAGGGACCCCTTTCATCTGTACATGGGCTAAAAGAAAGTTCCATTTCGTGGGAGAGGGGCTTTTATGGTTGGTGGTTTTTGTTTTAGGAGTTTTGTTACTCTGCTACACTGTTATTATGACAAATGTTAATCTTGAATAGCTCTTTTTAAAATTCAACTGCAGAAATTTTAAGTTAACATGTGTAGTATTTACAGTTAAAATTACACAGTCTTCCATTGAGGTTTTTCTAGTTCCTAAATAGATAATGTGCTTTTCATTCCAACAATTAGAATTATAAGACTGAAATACCAGCTCAGAGGCTAACTGTCTGAGTTCCTTTTGATAGGTTGCTCAATTTGTTTTCCAGAGAGGAATGAATATTGAATTTTCAAGTTTCTTTGCATTTCCATGTGCAAGAAGGATTTCAGTGCCAAAAACAAAAACGTGCTATTCACACTGGGATGGTTCTTAACCTCTCAAGTTCCTTAGGATGTGAAGTACATGTAGTCCAGGAATAGGCACTTGTATAGCTTCAGAAATGAATGTTCATTGAGCATCCTGCTGTTCTCATTAGCACAAATATCATTCCTTTCAGGACCGTGTAGCCTTCCAAAGTGAAAGGTCATGGAAAACACTAAAAAATAAAGATATTAACTTACTGATTAAAATATGTAACTTTTGTATAACTATATAAAGAAGTTGAGACTTACAGGAAAATGTATTCAGTTATTTAAATGTTCACTGTGATGTTGCACTAGAGCATGGCCATGTCATGTCAGCTTATTCTAGCAAAACTGATGAGTTTAGGCATGCCTTTTTCTTAACAAACTGAGCCTTTTGGCACCAGCAGGGTTCATTTGGCATGGGAGACTAAGTTCCCTAGTGCTCTTCACCTATTTCATTGACACCAGGGGAAAGAGCAGGGTGACTAAAATCTTGCTGTGTCCCTGAATGATGTGGTAAATGCCTGAAGCCACTGGGGAGGAGCTGGGCTGAGGAGGATGCTAGTGGCTAGAAACCATGCCAGTTCCTAACCTAGCTAAGTCTCAGGCTTTAGCTCCAGTTGCAGTGTTAATCACTCTGTTAATCACTGCTGTTTCTTAGTAGTTAATATTGAAAAGAAAGCAGAGATACAGAACTAGAAACTTCTGGGAAATATTCAGAGCCTGTCAGTTCTTTGGAGATGGCCACATGCAGCGTGGTAGAAGGAAAACAAAACAAGTAGCCTGGGTAAACTGTACTATATAAATATATAGGGGTTTTTTAGCTGTAAGGTAGGCAGGGTCTTCATCATGAAGGTCAGGGTGTCAGGAACTCATTATAGGATTAAAAATTTACTGATCCTGGAGTACACAACCTTTGTTTAAGAATGCCAGATCCAGTTTTTCAAATAAATCTAACAAAATGTTACTGTTGTTGGTGCCTTGAGAGGCTACCTACAGCAAAGGCTAGACAGTGTTAAAGGAATAAAGTAGATATTTATTAAAAAGCCTTCAAATGATATACCTTGGGCAGTGCAAGAACCTGGCCGAGACTACATCCAAGATGGACAATGGGTCACATGTTTTCACACTTTTATAAGTTTTGGTCCATTTACATATTGGTTCATTGTCTAGTTACAGCTTCAGGTTATGAAGTCCCATCCTCCCAGATTGCTCTCCTCAATTTGCTGTTGTTTATACTTTTTGGGCCTGGAGATGCAACGGTGTCCTTGGTTCTTGGGCTGGAAAAGGATTGTTTTGTCTAACTAAACTGTGAGGAGAACTTGCTAACACTTTCTATGAAGTTCAGAGTTATATGCTAATGCAGTACAGAATGTGGATAATATGAAAGCTAAAACTTAAGACATCATCATGGTAGAACTGCTCACTGTGCTAGGCACTATGTATTTAGGAATGAATCCACGGTTTTATCTTAAGCCTTTTTTTCCCTGCTGTTCATGTATTTCCCTAGCAGTTGTCTTAAAACATGTGAAAATAGCAATACTTATCATGCTTGAGTAATGCTTGAAAACTCCTGTGAGTACAAGTTCAGCTGGCATTCATGTGGTGGTTGAATGTGTGTTCTCATGGTGTTCCAGTTCGCTTCAGCAAGGGCTGAGAGACTAAATGACATCTGAAGTATTGCCAAGCTTGGCACTTCCAAATGATAGATTAACATGTATGTACTCACCCTTGTGCACAGTTGATAGAGAACGGGGTGGCCAGAGACTGAATACTGCTCAGTTATCGAGCTAACCTCCAGTGAGATATTGTACATGTTTATATCTGTCCTTTACAAATTAAACTGTCCCTGCTCTTAACTCAGCTCTCTTTCACCACAAGTCAGCTGGTGTTTTACTGCTTTTTTCTCACAGGCATGCAAATAGTAAGTATTGTTAGAGGTGACAGTGGGTACAGGACAGATAGCAACAGAAAAAGTGGCAGTGACATACCTCAGCTCTTACAGGCAAATTACCTATTAGGGTGGTGAACACTGCTCCTTTGCTAGGCCAGCTTTTGGCAACTGGAGCTATGGATGTGTGCTCTATCCAAGCACTGTGTCTGAGGCCCAACTTCTGCATTCCCATTACCTCACGGTTTCTAGGAGTACTTTTTGATGTTCAAAAAGGAAAGGTTGGGACCAGTTATTTTCTCCTGAAAATCTCCTTGTTCTTTTGTCCATTCTGGTGATAAACTGATAACAAAGGTGGTCTTCTTTATCTTCTTCTTCTTTCAGATGCAGTATTCACGAATGGACAGGGAGTTGACTATTTATTTGTTGGAAACATAGTTTACACTGTAAGTTTGTGTATCGTAGCAATTTTTGAATGGTAGAATTTATTTCCAGCCTTTTTTTCACCACAAGAAAATGGTGTAAACCTGAAGAAAATAGGTGAGGTTTTAAAACATCAACCTGATGCTGTGTGCATTATTTTCCCTCTTCCTTTTAATTTTTTTTTCCCAGACATGCACCAGCAATAGTTTCTGCTCTGTCCTTCATGCATCCCCTGCCAAGTTATTAGGTTGCTACCTAAATGGTAGTGGCTTTTTAGGTGTAAAGGGGAGATTGGGATTTGAGAGTGTTAATAATGGAGTTGTCTTCTTTCTTCTTTTTCCTTGCAGTATGTTGTAGTCACTGTTTGTCTGAAAGCCGGCTTGGAAACAACTGCATGGACTAGAGTAAGTACTTTCCAGTATCTTTTATTTTATTAACACACCTTCCTCCCTAATGAGTATTGATACAGATAAGAAGTACTAAAAATCATTTGGGTCTTCAGAGTTTTAATTGGGTCTTTCATGTAAGGATAGACTGCTAATCTCCCTAAGTACGGAATGTGAGAAGAATGAACTCCTAGATCACACGATATCTGTGATGAAAAATGGCAGCCTGACAGAAGTGGGAAGAGTACACTAAAAGTGTATTGTCAACATCTCTACTTAAAAATGAGGAAAATTTTGCATGAAATCAACATACTGGTGTAATTGCTTAAGAAAATGCATCAAGAAAATTATCCTCAGTACTCTGTAGCTCCTTCAAAATTAATGCAATAGGGAATGAAAGGTGTCTGTCCGCAGAAAAACAACTAGGCTTTGATCTTTGAATCAGGTAAAAAGAACTAGTGGTGACTGCACATTGGTTGAGTTGTTTTGGTTTTTTGTTTTTTCTTTTTGAAACTTAGTGTAATAAGTATGTTAGTTGAATAGTTATGTTGGTTCCTTGATTCGAGTTATTGACTTGAAATGGGCAAGTGCTCTGTTACTGGTAGGTGACAGAATCCAGCAGGGCAGTGAGCTCCAAAGAGTGTGAGGGACAGGGAGGGGAGGGCTCCTGTGTTGATGAACCTTCAACACCTTTCTCCCTTCCTTTCCCCTAGGCCCTCTGAAACACTAATTTTTTTAATTTTGATGGAGTCCCTTTTTCTCCACACCAGTAAGATACTTTATAGGAATCCAGTTTTCATGACATACAAAGAAGCTCTGCCCTCAAGACTATAATGTTTTGAGGACATGTATTCTTATTCTAACAGTTTCTTTGAGGGTTTTGCTTAGGTCTTGTTAACCTCATTGCTTCTGTTAGTTGTAAAATGTTTTATTTCATTCCTCCCAGAGGAATTGTGAAGATCAATGAGCTGACATCTGTTCTGAATTTTAAAGATGAAATGCTATCTGTATGGATTATTTAATTGTTAGGGAGATGTTAATATTTTCTGCCCCATTCTCTCATCTGAAAATAAAATCTGAGTGTTTTTACTGTTGCTTATGCATCAGTTCTGTGTTGTGTATCAACATTTTAAAATGCAAAAATCTTAAATTAATCCCTCGTGCACCAGAAAAGCATATAACCAAGTCAGCATTGAAGGCATGTGAGCTTGTTTAGATCCTGTTTTGTTGTGAACTGTTTGATGGTTTCTCTTCTCTCATCTTCCCTGGATAGGTAATGGGTGTCTTTTCAGTCACTTGGGGGTAATCATGATCTCCTCATTTCTAAACTTCTTTTTTAAAAGATACCATAACGTTTAGTAAGTATTGAAGTTCTATAACTCTGTCACTTTACAGAGAAATTATTATTATTCACACAACAGTTGTGTTATAATCCACTTTTTTCTATATATACTTCTAAATCCTGTCCCATTGGTTGGAACAGTGTCTCTCATCATCTCGAAATCTGATGTTGGTTATAGTTTCAGCTGTGAGTGAATCAACACAGAGAATCTTTAGGTTACTTGAAGAGTATTAAATTTACAACACTGAGTTAAGCCTCTTCTCCATCATCAAGCGGATTGGTTACAGGCAATTTGTTCTAGAGAGTGAGAAGGACACTGCCACTTGGGAGAACAAGGTGGTTTCAGCAGAAAGCTTTAAATAAATAGTGCAGTCAAAGTGTTTGGCAGCCTGGTATATCCAGTAGGTAGTGTGGAAAGAAAAGCTGTGATGAAGGTGGCAACATAATGCATAATAAAATCCACACATGGAAGTTGAGTGGAGTCGCTTCATGTTACGTGTGGCCTATCTGGAACACTGCAGAAGGCTTTTTCCCAAACACACAGAGCTTTTTTCATCACTGCTTTACCACACTGTAGGAACTGTTTCAGATAAGCAGGGCACACGGGGGAGCCACACTCTGTCTAGTTTTTATGCAAGAATCTTGATTTCTTGTTTTCTATCATTCATTTAACACATCTGATGGGCTCACATCTGGTTTTGCATGAGAAGTCTCCAGGGCTAAATGCAGACGTCAGTGGAGAATCAACAGTGCAAAGGTTGGTGGGGTGGCTGCATAAGGAACATTTTCAATCAGGCCAAGGATGGCTCTTCCAGAATGCAGAAGTTCTTTTAAAGGCAGAGAAGCAGTTTGGGCAGATACAAGCCTGAGATAATGAGATGATTAGGACGACCATGAGAAGAAGGTAAAGACAATATAAAATGAGCTAATTCTGCTGAAAAGGGTGAAGATCTGCAAAAGTTGACAAGTGTCCTAGCAGCAGAATAGAAAGAAAAACCTGAGTGAAACAAAAAAAACCTGATGTCATTTCACTAGCATAAATACACTTGCTACAAAATAAGTCTATGTCTGAGATTGGGTTCTCTGCTTGCCTTTATTTTTACTGGTTTTAGTCATAAAGTACAGGAGCTAGGGAAGCACCAGTCCCAGCTATCCTGATCCTTCTGTCCACTTGTCTGAGGGGAAGGCTGTGGCTCAAGAGAAGGTATCACATTCTTTTCAGAAAGCAGTGATGGTGCTGATCTGCCGTTGCATGGGGCTGACTTTTGTTAAGGATGAGTTCTTGCAGCAGCCTTGCAGTACTTGATCTTTGGGGAGCTGAACATACAGTTGCTCACTAGGGCACGGCTTCTAGTCAGAATCTTGACATGAATTGTGCCCAGTTTTCTGAAAAATAAGTAGACTGAAAGGATAAAATCCCTCTTGTCCTCAAAGTGTTTTTAAAAAATCCTTCAATTTCTTACTTTTCTTCACATTTAAACTGAATTGAGCATGGATGTGGGTATTTTGGAGGAGCTTTTTTGTTATGTGGGGGTTTGGGGCTGGATTTTTTTTGTTAGTTTGTTTCTTGTTTGTTAGTTTTACATAAGGAGTTGTTTATTTACTGAGGTCAGATCTCCTGGGTGAAACAGAATAAATAGCAAAGTTTGAAAACAAATCTTCTTGCCCACTGTGTCTCTCCAGGAAGGGGCCTATCTTATGTCTTATTATTAGCCCAGCAACTTTCAGAGTTTAATAAAATTTGAGCTTTCGGAGAGTGCCTAGAAGAGTGTTCTTTCCATTGCCTCTGACATTTTGTCGTATGAATGGTTCTACTGTAAGGTAGTCTCTGGTTGATCCCAGCTATCTGCCAGTCTGCACTGCTGCTGCAGGCTCCTTTCTTGTTTGTTTTCACTGCCTGTGCTGCAGAAAGCTGTCCTTTCTGAGGATGTCCAGTGGTTGCAGATTAGGAGCAATCTTCTTCTTCCAGAAGTTTGTATTTATCTCACAGCAAGCAGAACACGATACTCAGACACTTCTTTGGTTCTCAGACATGCTGTTCAAAAAGTCAACAGACAGAGTCATCCCGTAGGAAGTATAAAGCCAAGAGCTGAACAAACACGCTGTGTCCACCAGCACCCAGTATGTGAATTCATTCCCATGTTCCTGAACTCATATGTAATTAGTAATTAAGATTTATGCAGGTACTTCTCTGAATTGGAGCCAAAGTCATCAGCCACAGGAGTTGTTGGCATCCAGAAAAGTTGGAGCCAATAATGAGCTCAGTTGCTTGTTACAACTGAAATTACTGGTTCCATCCACTGTGGTGTAAAAGTAAAACAGCTTAAATCATCCTGAGCAGAAAAACAGTTTGGCTGTGTAGGAAAAATTACTTTAATGCGACTAAGAAGAAGTTTGTGCCGGATATGCTCTTGGTCATTTAATATTCTTTATTTTCTCTTAGTGAGTCTACAGGCTAAAGAACCAGTAAAGATGCAAACTGCATTGCATGTCTGTAAATCAGTTAGAACACCTTTAAAACAAAAAAACCCAAAGCTGATCAGTAGATGTTGATTGAGGTAGTGTATTATACAACACCGAATCTTCGTCCAGAGAAGGTAAGTGATGTGTATGGCTTGTACATGTACACTGCCATAGGGGATTTGTCCATGTGAACTCTAACCTGAGCCTTTGAAAATTTCTACCTTGATTTACGTGTTGAATCTGGAATGTGCATGACAGGATACAGTAACTAGATGAGAGAAATTATGGTTCCAAGGAAAATCTGACGAGTTTTTGGAGCTCCAAACAAGACAGATTGGCTGAGAAGAGTATCTGTCTGCCCTGCTATGAGGCAAAGATTAAAGAGAAGTGGTTTGTGCTGTTTGAACAACCTGTGCTACTGGCCCAAAACCAAGAGCAGTAGACAGGCCTGAGTGAGACCGACAGAGTCCTGAACAGGGAAGCACTTTGGGCTGGGTGGATGGAAGAAGTGCCATGTGTTGACTCTGCTTCTCTCCCTGTTCCTTGGCAGTTCAGTCACCTGGCCGTCTGGGGAAGCATGCTGCTCTGGCTCGTGTTCTTCGGGGTGTACTCGGCCATCTGGCCCACGTTCCCCATCGCGCCGGACATGCTGGGGCAGGTCAGTACCAACGCCTCCCTCTGGGGACAGCGGCCAGCACGGCGCCCTGCTGTCACCAGCGCTGCTGCCTCCCGCTTCCTCAGCGCTCACACAGTGCTAGCAAAGGACTGCTACTCTAGGGAGAGTGCTGGGATTTCATTTTAACCTTTTCTTAATCCCTGTATTCATTTGGCTTGATCTCCTCATGAGAAGAGCTCTCTTTGTCCCCCACACTGACATCATCAATGGTTACATGCACTGTGGATACTGTATGGCAATTCCCAATTTGCTGTGATAGCAGTGGGACTGGTTCTTTTGTTAGTGTCTAGTCCTGGCAAGATTTTGTGTTTGACAAAATGTCATATTTAGTTTGGGATTTTGTTTTGTCATGGGTTTGTTCTTTTCCATATGTTTTGTCTACTATTGTTGCTTTTTACCTTCATTCATTCTAAATAAACAGAATTTCCTTGAGAATAGAATGAGATGGTCAGAAGCAGAAGGAGAGCTGATACATTACTGATTATGGTACTGGAGGAATTCTGGATTTGTTCCTTCCATGTCAGCTGAGCTACAGGTGGTAGAATTTTCCCTTCAGTGTCATTATTTCAACCCCTGGTGAGAAGATCGAATAGCAAGCCTGTCAAAATCACTCAAGAGCCTTGTACATATTTAAAATAGGGGGATAGCAATTAACAATTGTAACAATTACGGATTTAGTAACTATATGATAAAAAGTGATTTTGTAGAGGTGGAACTGCTTTCAGATTTACCTGAAAAATGTATTGGGTTATAAGTTTAGACTTCAATTCAAAGATGTGATACAGAAAGAAGAACAGCTATCTAATAATTTCAAGAAATTACATTCTTAAATTGCTACCATTATGTACTAGAAAATTATAATAAAAAAAGTCAAGTGTTGGCAAGCCAATTAGATTTTTGAGATTACTCCCATGTTTGTATTCAGCAAGAGCAGTCAGGCATGATTTTTTGCTGTTCTGGCTTAATACATATTTTATTATTATGCTGTAAAACACTGAGGATAATGGAGGCTGTGATACATTTTCATGGACAGCTTTTTACAGCTGAGACTGACAGCTGACAGGCTGGGATGAGCAGGTGAGTGACTGACAGACAAAGCCTCAGTCCTCTGGTAGGATTTCATGGTGATCTTGGCATGTTTCACCGCACACCCAGCATCAGTAGTTCTGACTCACATTTTCATAGATCAGGCAGGAATTTGTCTTCAGTATCATGCAGAGTCAAGGACAACTTGTCCTCCACAGCAGACTTTAGTGCTGCCATTAACATGTCAGCCTTCTGAAATGTAGACAATATGGTGAAATGTTGCATCACACACAAGGGGCCAGACTATGGGCTTTAGCTTGTTGCCTTTCTTCTTTTCCCAAAAGCGACTCTTATTTTTTATTGCAACTTAAGCAAAATTCATGTTGTGCTGGTCATCAACGTTTGCTGCAGGATATAAAACCACAGGTCTTGGAACAAAACCTTCATATTAATAAGGTTTTGGTTTTCCTTGACTATGTTTTTAGAAAGTGTTTGTATTTAACCTTTGGTTTTATGCTCTGATTTTCTGACATTATGACTTGAGAAGTGGCACTAATATCTTGCCAAGATGAAAATAATCTGTTCTCTTTTTTTTTTTTTTTTTTTAAATGGAGAACACATTTACCTTGGCTGGTAGAGCATCCAGTCCAGTACTTGTGGAGCTGTGTACCTGGATCAGTAATTATCAATCTAAAATGTAAGCATAGGTGATCATTCTAGAGAGATGATTTTTTTAATTCAAGCAGTGAAAAATAAGCTGTTTTATGGCTTTCAGTGTGTGCTAGAGGGGATCAATATCATTCCACCAATTTTCTTGTATTTTTGAGAGAAGGAGCAGCTGTTGAAAAATGTGGGGTTTTTTCTTTTTTTTTTTTTTTTTTCTCTTTTATCCTTTTGTAAAATCAAGGAAAGCTCCCAAGGTAAAGGGAGCTTGTTTACCACTCACATTAACTCCCACAGTCTCTTGAGTAATCAGTTGCTGTCATGAAACCAGCTCATGGTGAAATGAGCTGGGACTGTGTTAGGCTCTAGTCAGTAAAATGAGTTGCCTTGCTGCCTAGATTTTAACAATTTCTTTACTCTTGCTGTATTCTTTTGTTCATTTATAAATAATAAGGTGTCTTAAAAGCATTGTTCTTGTTTCAGATCTTGCTAGTGTGTTTATCTTCAAATAAATTGAACTCCAGGATATTTTAGATCCTCATACTATGCAAATCTAATAGCATTGGAAGGAAGCTGATTTTAGCTGGAATAGTCATTAGCATTTGTGCCAGCCGAACTTTGTGCCATCAGTAGAAGGCACAGGAGGTGCAAAACATTTTATTCTGTTGTTTCACCAAATGTCAGCATGAAGCCTAGCAGACTTCAAATATGTGATAGCTTGTTTCTGCTAGGGTTTGTTAAACTATTTGCACTAAGTATTTATTTCTCTTGCCCATAATATCTTGAGCATTTTCACAGGGATATAATACCATTTTTCCTCCTTGGGGGCAAAGGAAAGCGACTTACTCTCTCTTGTCAGAGTCAACATATTTCTTCTGTTTCCCCTATAATATTAGTAATGGAATACATGTGACATATTAAGACAAAGCCATGATTAAAATCTCAATAGTCCTTAATAGAAATCCTCCAATAGTATGCATCTGGTACTTTGGGCAAAAACTCTTTCTCCTTTGGGGGAACCTTTTCAGACACACAATTTCTCTTCAACAGTATCAGAAATAATAACCTAAGAATAATATAAGAAAACTCTGTGGTAGCTCTCTTGGCTTTCCTGAATTTCTGTATATTTTCAAGTGAATTTTTTTTTTATATATATGAGAACAGTGACACTGAGAAGAGTTGGTGCCTTTTTTTTGTCTTGCAAAAGACAAAAAATGCCAAAAGCCAAGATGCTTTAATGAGAACTGATTGCTTTTGAACGGTCACTTCCAGATGACAGTATTTTGTACAATACATGAGTCCTGTCCCACCTTTTGGGTAGTTATGACTTACCACCGCAGATTTTTGAAAGCAAGTAGATGTTTGTGTTTTTAAAAAGAGCTATCTAGTTTGATATTCATTAACTGGAAGAAGCGGTACAGAAATGTGCCACTCTGAGGATGTGAATTCCTATTTAATTATCATGTTCCTTAACTTACAGGACTTGTAGCTCATAACTGAGTGGTATTTTGTTGATGAGCACATTAGCCACAATCCTGCCCTCATGCATTCTTGGGTATTTTGTTTGTTTGCCTGGGGATGGAGATTTGATGTCCCGAAGGGAACAGTGAGTGCTAACATTTGTGCTTATTTCTTGTATGAGTCATATATACGGTGTAAGAAATATGCTGCTAATGCTCTGTTCTTGTATTGATTTATTCGTTGAAATTGAAGAATACTTTAGGTTCATGGGAATAACATTGCACTGTATAGAATTAAAGTCGTTGTGCAGGTATTCCCACCCCCACACGTCTAAATACCTGTACCTGAAAGCATGCATATGTTTACAAGAGGATGCTTTGAAAGTGCTCATGCTTTGAGTCTTGATCTAGACATTATCTAAGATGAAGAAAAAGAGGTGTATTCTTTCCCCATCTTGAGCTGAAATTTTTAGTGTTTTAAGGGAGAGTAGTGTTGGCAGGAAAAGGGAGTATTCCTGTCACCCCTCTGAAGCATCTGCTTGTTGATGATGAAAGAACTACTACGTAGCTGTGATTTCTTTCTTCGAGTTTATTTACCTTAATATGTGTTGTGTTTTGTGTCTGCTGCATTAGTTGTTGTTACCATTAAGGAAATATCTTTAGGAAGATGAGTATCAGTTTCATTGTTTCTGCCTGAAGGAGAGGGGACATGTGCTGTGGTTATTTTGAAGTGCAGGTTGGCGTTTCTAATTTTTTAGATTTCTGCTTTGTGCTGTATGTGGTCATGTTGCATAACTGGGGTTTAACAATTGTCTTCATCTTAGGATGTCATAAGGAGGCCCATCTCACCAAAACCTCATGGCTGGAGGTTTTGAAATGGGGCTTGCTGCACTTCCCAGCTACCTTTATACAGTTGCATTTGAGAGAAGACTTCTTGAATCACAGTCCGAATAATTTTACCACCAGCATAGCTGAAACAGCTCCATGTAAGAGCCACTTTCACAGCTGTAATTTCAGGTGTGTTCTTATTTTCAAGTGCGCTGCACATCCTGGACAGAAAAATATTTATTTCTTATCCAAGTAAACTGTCAGATTCTTGATAGATTTTTTGTCTGCTTATGAAGACTTTTAAAGAAGCTGCACATGGAGTTTACCTGGATTAAAGTTTTTTTTTAAAAGATGCCAGTAATGGAAATCTCTGGTTGATCCCATGTAATGTGACAGTAGCAGGACTTGCCTGTTTTAATGGTTTGTTAAGAAGACATATGTGTCTTTTTTAGCAAAGCTTCCTGTTCGTCTGTGTGTATGGCATGGGCAGGATGGGCTTGCCTTGACTATTGCACTGTTGTTGGCTTTTGAGGGAGGGAGGTGATCTTGATAAAGGATGTGATGGACTCGGGTTGCACAGTTGGTTTTGTAGTTGGCCTTCGATCTGAAACTCTCTGAGATCTTGCTGATTGAGTTCTTACTAAAGCATGTGAGAAAACTTCATGGTTTTCAAGACTTGGAAACAACACAAAACACCCCCCAAAAATCCTGGAGGCAAGATAATAATCATTATTGCGGTGTAAGAAACAGGTTTCACATTACTGCCCTTCCAAATCCACACTGCAAAGCTGACAGCTTAATGTACGTTTTTGTGTTTTCCAGAATACTTTTGTCTTACTCTCTGCATTTGAATTGTTTTCCAGAGGTCTCGGTTGTTGTTCTCTCTGGCTTCTCATATTTCCACAGTTTGGTGCTAGTTAGAAAATTGGCTGTTCTGATTGTGGTTTGTTTGTCTGCAATCAGTTGCACATTACATTGTGGTGTCAATGTTTTGGTTGCTGAAAA